TTCACTCATTCTTTCATCATATTAGCCTGATATTAGATTCAAATTAAGAGATTGATAAAAAAAACTGTTTCTTTTGATCATATATGATGCTGATTCATCAGCAGAAAGAGACCAATTGGCAACTGTAACTCGAACCATTGGTGATCTAGTTTCTTGGATGTAAGTGTTCAGTTAATTTGATTGTACTTCATAAGAATATGTCCACATTTTATTTACATGTATTTTCATTTAGGCAAAACAACTTTACTTAATGTCGTCAAATTTGGCAAAGATGTTACAATAGCGTCAACATTCGCTTTGAATATTATAATAGAAATTGACAACATTTCTATACTGGCTATGGAAGAGGGTGGACGCTCGAGAAATCGTGTTTTTCAGCGTTTTTACTACGATGGCATTTCGGGAATTATCTTTGTTGTTGATTCAACTGATAGAGAAAGCATCGATGTAGCACGGGATAGACTTCTTCAAATGTCAAACACAGCAATATTTTGTAACAAACCGTTTCTAATTTTTGCCAATAAACAAGACTTATCCAATGCGATGACATTGAATGAAATACAAGTCAAACTCGGTTTAGCTAAACTCAATGGAAATACAAAATGGCATTTGCAGCCAGCTTGTGCTATTCAAAATGAAGGTCTTTATGAAGGTTTTAAATGGCTGACAGAATCTATGGTAGAACAAGTTGATCGAATCAAACCGATTAACGAGACAATTGACGATCTGACCATTATAAAAAATCGTCTTAGGTCCATCTGGAATATGACGAGTTTTAAAACATTGTGGCGCAAAGTTTTTTAATTTTTTTATATTCTCGATGAAAGAAAACAAAACAAATTCATAAATATACATAGGGGTATCCAAAAGTAGTGACAACGACATTTTATTACCACATATTAAGGTTGATAAAAATTTCTTTTTCCATAGGATGATAGAACGAGAAAAGCTCTTTCTTTCTATGCTATTCGCTCATACTTCAGATGACATCATAATAAAAAAATCCTAATAAGACTAGTTTACCTAACATGTGTCACGGTTACAGAAGTTCATATTGTCTTCAATAGGCATTCTTTTCTTGATCTTTTCTTTGTTTTTATTCTTTCCTTTATTCTTTCCTCTCACCTCTTTCGAGACTTTAACGTTCATTCAGATTAGCATGTCCAATAATTGAAAATACATAAACAAGTTCAAGAAGTTTTTATTTCATTAAATGTTCAAATTGCCTTGATTATCTACACACAATTCCATTCTTTGAATCCATTTATCGAACTTTTTCCTGTACTCTTCTTTATCCAAAGAATACATGAACTCCGTTATAGCGTTGTGTAACGATTCGGAATCAGCTTGATCAGTTAGATTTCGTTTGATCAAGTCGATCAACCAAAAATCACACGGAGACAGATCTAGAGAATTTGGTGGTTGTGGTACTACGGTAATTTCTTCTGAACAAAGATAATCGAGTACGTCTTTATGAAAATGTGCTCGTCCGTTATCATGATGAAGTTTGATGGCATGAGTACCTGAGAGAGATCTTTGTTTCTCGATGTCTTCGATAACAGGTTGCAAACAGTTTTTGATGTAATATTGATGATCGATAGTTTGTCCACTTTCAACACGATGGATTAGAAGAGGACCAGTTGATTTAAAGAAAATGCAGAATAGAGTTTTTGGAGCAAACTTATTTCGTCGCACTCTTGTGGGCGGAGGATCGTCTTTTGCCACCCAAGCAGCGTTGGAAACTTTTCGACCAGTTTGCTGATGGAAAAAACACGATTCATCACCTGTTACCACGTCGGACAAACGCCATCTTCCTCCTGTAAATCTTGACAGATTTTATTTGCATATTCGAACTCGTTCACTCCGTTGATAATCCGTTAGCTGTTTGGGTATGTAGCGAGCAGTCATTTTTCTAAGTTCCAGATGATCAGATAATATTCTATGAACGGTGCCACAACTTAGATCAGTATGCTCTTGTAATTCTGCTATTGTAACATGAGGATCATCACTAACAATACTACGAATTTCTTCAATATTTTCAAGAGTACTCTCAGTTACAGGTCTTCCGAATCGTTCTTCATCTTCAATTTCTTCTCAACCTTCACGAAACCATTGAGCCCATCTTGCAATTGTTCGATAAGAAGGAGCTTCATCACTGAAAACAGTACGTAGCTCGTCGTGAATAGTTGTTGCTTCAACATTAAGCGCAGTACGCACTTTAATGTAGAAGCGAAAATTTTCTTTGTTCATTGAAAACAAAAATGAATAGTAACATTCGATTTAACTTAACTTCTTCCACTTTCTATAGAATAGAATAGCACATGACACGTGCACAAAAAGACGCATGTATCTTTGTATACATATGATAAATGATAAAATGTCAGAAGAGTGATATGAAAGAATAAAGGAAAGAATAAAAACAAAGAAAAGATCAAGAAAAGAATGCCTATTGAAGACAATATGAACTTCTGTAACCGTGACACATGTTAGGTAAACTAGTCTTATTAGGATTTTTTTATTATGATGTCACCTGAAGTATGAGCGAATAGCATAGAAAGAAAGAGCTTTTCTCGCTCTATCATCCTATGGAAAAAGAAATTTTTATCAACCTTAATATGTGGTAATAAAATGTCGTTGTCAATACTTTTGGATACTCCTATGTATTTCTTATTAATGTGTTTTTCACAGCATTGACAAATTGAAATGAGCTTTTAATATATGAATGATTTTCTTTCTCATAATTCTTTATTATATTAGCAAGAAATGTGTTGCAAGTTTATAATTTGTAGCATGGAACATTATGCTTATTGATCTTAATATAAAATTAGGTTTATGTACATTCATTGTACAATAAAGCATTGAAATATTATGAATTTCTTTTTCCTCTGTTCTTGATCGATCATTTTCGATCTTACTAAACTTCTTTGAGTCTTGCAAAGTTTGATTTACTTTACCTCTATAATTATTTTTGTCTATCTTTAGTTCTTCTAATGCAATACGTTCTACATCACTTAATTTTATTGAAAAATGACTCCCAAGCGATGTTTCTCTTCTTTCACTCATCTTTAATTTTTATTGAGTCACATTCAATTTCTAAGTGCATATTGAGCAAGGGAAAAAAAGCAAGACTTCAAATACTTCACGATACTTTACTTGTACTTCATGTATTGAAGTCTTGCCTTTTCCGTTTTGCTTAAACTACATTCGCTGTGTCGACTTCGAATACAGTCAATTAAGCTTCACTTTTAAATAGAATTTTTGATAAACGGAAAGATTCATTGAAACAATACAACTGAAATTTTTCAGTTTTGTATTTACGAGCTTTCGTACTGATTGTGAGACCATCTGTTAAAAAAAAAGATTTTACACAAGGAGATATTCATAGAGATTATAATAAAGTTCAAAGTCTAATGAATCACTAAAACTCGAATTTTCGCGTAGGCAAATGTCACTGTATATAGTCTCGTCACAACAAAACGAAACACAGTTAAATGTAAAAAGCAAAAAAAAACACACGAGGAATGAAATATACATCATGATGAGCACATGGACAAAAAACACTGTCTACCCGAGGACAGAGTCATGCTCCATTGATTCATGTGAATATATGTTTGTTGAAAAGAAAATTATGTTGTCAGTAATAAATACAGAGTGAAACTAATTGCAAGCACACAAAACAAAATTTCTTCATTCCAGTATCACCTAGCACGTAAGTATGTTTAGTTTTCAACATGACTAGACTCGTGACAAAACTAAAGTTAAAAGTAAAGAGTATTTACAAACAAGAAAAATGACGAGACATAGACATGAAGTATTTTGATGATCATGAAGTCATTGTAAGAGAGCTACGCTTAATGATACTCAGAATATACAATCAATTGTCTTAATTGAAGTAGAATTCACACATAAAATAGTGTTACTGCAAACTACGTTTGAAAGAATGAGATTTTCTATGGCTACATTCCACTGAGAGTACCTGTTAGAGAGCACTCAGACAGCATTCATCATTATTTATTATATGTATATTTTTTTTCTTCATCTTGTCCTATGCATATGCATGTGTATGCGTCTTCATTTAATTACAATTTTCGTTTTTTTCCTTTTCTATCGATCACGATAATGTATTCGTTTTAGTGCTTTTCGTTATTGACACAGTGAGCAAGCAACGAATTAAATATCGAGTATTTGTCTTCAAAAATTTTGATTCAGGGCTAGTCTAAGGTCTGATGTGTCCTTGAACTTCATTTCTGGTCCGCCATTCACAAGCACCATCGTACATATATTGTCTAGTCTTTTTCGAGAAGAAGACTCGTCAGTATCTGTTGCTTAGATGATTGAATGATATGATCGAAAACTTAATCTTTACATGTCGAAAAAAACACTTGTAGACGCTATTTAATCGAGTTTTACATCTTTTTTAAAATTTTCAAATAGATAAAAAAAATAATTTTTATTCGAATACACAGTTATCAATACAAGCTTAAATACGACTATTTTTGATTTTTATAAATTAAAAATAATTATTTTCGTTAGATTTTAGAAAAAATAAATGAATACAAAAAGGAATATTGTATCCAGAATAGATTAATAATTTCTCTGCGTTGAAGAGAAAAGTTTTTCTATAAGTATTATGATTTTATTTCGTGTTAAATTAAATTAATCCATTTTAAAATTAAAACTAGACTACATTTGTGCAGTCTAAATCAGTTTTGAAATTCATCTAATAAGAATCCGTCTATAACGTGAAATAAAATTATGACACAAAAAATATTGGTATTATTTTGGGTCTGATGTAGATCTTTTTTTTTCATAAACGCTCATATCCACACTCATGTCGTTCGTTTTCATTTATTTTTTGTTGACTTGAGCATTCTTCTTTGCTTCTTGCTTGGTATAAAGAGCCACTATCTCTCGGTCATCATCGCTTCGTTAGCAATACTTTTGAAATAAAGAATTATATATATAGGACAACGACGTCTCACTAATTGCATCCATTCATCATGAGCAACCGAAAATCGACAACAACTGCTGCTAGTGAACTAGCAGCGATAACCCCCACCAATAGTACGATTGTGCTACCCGAACCTACGCGTCGGGCTCTTCAAAATTTCCTTTTGATCTGGCTTGATGCTAATTTAAACGAATCCAATGAAGATTTCAAGAAATCATTACAAAAAATACAGTATTTAGTGGCATCAATCAAAACATTTACGGATGCTGAAGAATGCATTGATTTTCTCAGTGCAAGTAAAAAAGAAAAAGTATTTATGATCGTATCGGGTTCACTGGGACAGCATGTAATACCGAAAATTCATGCATTGCCACAATTGGATTCGATTTATGTTTTCTGTAGTAATCAATCAATTCATGAAGAATGGGCCAGAACAATGCCTAAAGTTAAAGGTGTGCACACAACAATCGAATCAATTTGTGAAGCATTACAAATCGATCGTAAAAATAGTGATCGAGCTATGATCTCGATCAGTTATAATGGTATTGATATATTGTTTACGTATGCACAAATATTAAAAGAAACACTTTTGCAAATTGAAGACGATGATACAAAATCTCTTAAAGAATTTGTTGACTACTGTCGTCTTCAAGGTGGTATTAATGAAGATGAAATTAATAAGGTCGAGCTCGAATATCACCGCTATACACCCATTTGGTGGTATACAGCTCCGTATTTTATGCGCTCAATGCTTAAGCGTGGTTTTCAGCTAATGGATGTTGATATCATAGTCAGAATGAACTTTTTTATTCGACATTTACATCAACATATTAAAAACTTACATCGTGATCAACAACCATTTGCCAACACTAGTCCGTTTCAACTTTTTCGAGGTCAAGGTTTAGCAGTGGAAAGTTTTGACAAACTGAAAAAAACCAAGAGTGGACTAATGTGTTTTAACAGTTTTCTTCCCGCAAGCCGCAATCGCAGTATCTCCCTCGAAAATTTTGCACGACCAGCGGCACTTGCCAACGATCCTAATCTAGTTGGCGTACTCTTCGTTATGATCATCGATCCAAAGCTATGTGCAATGTCATCAATTCCTTTTGTTGATGTCAAGAACGTCGGCTTCTTTAAAGGTAAAGAGGGAGAAATTCTGTTTTCAACACATACAATATTTCGTATCGATAAAATTCAACGCATTTATGACGTTCATACTGATCGGTTATATCAAGTCAATCTCACTCTTACGGGTAACGATAATCATGAAATTAACACATTTACAGCACACATACGCAAAGAAATCAATTTGAAGGCACTACGAGGATGGTCTCAACTAGGTTTCATACTTATTAAACTGGGCGAGCCTGCAAAAGCAGAACGACTGTATCAGATCCTCCTTGAAAAGGCATCTTCCGATGTAGATCGAGCCTATTACAATCATCTACTTGGTTCAATGTATGACGACATGGGCGAGTACAAGAAAGCACTCTCATTTTTCAAAAAAGCACATGAAATCAATCGAAAAACTCTCCCTCCAAGTCATCCCGATATTGTACAATCGCAAAGAAACATTGATAATATGAAAAAGAAATTGTAATTTTGTTCTTTTTTTTCGCAACAATAAATTACTCTCTACTATTTTTGTGTTGGTGATCAATTCAAATGATTGTTCTATCTGTATGAAATCTTTTGTAGCGCATGCGTGCGACCAAAGACATCTTCTCGGTCTTGTCGTACTGTATGGTAGACAAAGTCGACAACGGTTGAGCAAAATATGCATGCATGCTAGTGCACCGTGCGTTCAAGACGATGATGATGTAGACATACATATACATGCCAGGTCACTCGATGGGCTTGTAAAGAAAAGTAGAGTGCAAGATAAAAGACGCACAAAGAAGAGCAACCACGCAGCGCAACGCAAAAGAACAAAGGACGTATGTGACAACATCAATAACATCGATCTCACGTCCTCCTATTCGTCTGTACACATATCAATTCGATTAAAGTCGTCTGAAATATGATGGGTTGGGGTCGATTATTTTTTTTCATTTTATATTGAACACGAATATTTTAAGAACGGTGTAGATATCCAGAGCGTTACCTTGCAAGTGAACAACTGACACGAAGAAAAACAAAAATCTGATGATTGATATAGTAAAGAATAAGTTCAGTATTAACTAACGGAACTGTTTTTGTAATGTCAGGATTCGTACTAAAACAGAGCCTGTTTTTCAATGGTATTGAATGTTTTTTTCTCAAGACTTTACGCTAAAAAAATAGGTATCATACGAAACTTTAAAAGGTATCGATAATTGAAACGAATTCCAAATCATTTTCGTTGTCGTATGGACCTACGAAACCCTTACAAAGTTGGGTGTGGGTGTGGGATGTGGATCTTCTTTTCATCTATACCCACACCCACACCCTCTGTCTTGGACAGAGAGAGAATGATAGATAGAGAAGGTGAGGATATCACTTTGTTTTGTTCCAGAGCTTTGGCAAGATAATGCGATCGTTGAGCACTGCTTTAATTGCTATAGAGGTACAGCGTGGTTAGTATTTATCTTGAACAAACAGTGAATCATCGATAGAGAAGGTGAGGATATTACTTTGTTTTGTCCAAGAGCTTTAGCAAAATATTGTGCTTCTTGATCACCGATTCGACTGTTGCTGAAGTTTAATGTGATTAGGGTCTGTTTAGAAGAAACAGTTAATGATAGATAGAGAAAGTGGGGATATTACTTTGCTTAGTTCGAGATCTTCGACAAGAGATCATCCTGATTCATCATGGATTGCAGTACTAGCGAGATTCAATGTGATTAGTGTGTATTTAGGAAAAGCAATGAATGATAGATAGAGAAGATGAGGATATTATTTGGTTTTGTGTGATGATTTTGTTAAATTTTTGTGCTCGATGAATATGGATCCATTTGTTAGTGAAGTTCAGTGTAGTTAGTACCTGTAAGAGGCCGAAATCGAACCGAATCTATCCCCATCCGTTTTTTAAAATTTAGTCCAAATGAACCGAACTCGAACCCGTAGAACTCGCTTCGATTTGGTCTCTGGCGTGTATGTATAGAGATAAGAAACTTTGGAAGAAAGAAAGCTTCATGAAGGCAAATTGCAATGAAATCTATGTATGTTAGTTGTTGCTTCAATGGGGAAATCTTTCATTCAGACTGAGGACATGGGTATGCTGGTGGTTTTTTTTAGAAAAGACATTGAAAAAAGCTATTAGGTATATAAATTTTTGTAGGGCACAGAAATTGCCTTGAAATTGTTGCGGAACGCATGATACACATTCCAGTGCTCGTGAAAGAATGTTATAGCTCCGTATCGCCTGAAAAGTTCTGGAATAATAAGCCACGATGTCCCTAAGTGTTTAATGTAGACAAGGAGAAACGAGGTGATCACAAATCATCAGATTTTTCTCCACTCTGGAAACATTGTAAAATGAAAGAACCTTAGTAGTATACAACCACTATGATATTGTTTTATTGAGATGTCGTCCCTTTTATGGACAAAAATTTAAAAAATGTCAGAATTCACTGTGCTCTCTCGTAGAAGAGAAAGGACGACTAAAATGAGCTAATATGTAATCTTTAAACGATATTTTTCAACAAGATTCAATTGCATTTACGACACTTTTATTAGTCACTGATCTTGTTTGAACTGAAGCTGATGATCCTCGCTTCAAAATACATATCTCTAGATATTACAGAGCGTACATAATCTTGATATCTAGAAAATCAATAATTATTTTATATTTCAATTCGTAAGATATAAATAGCATTCACATTCACTCGAATTAAACAAGATCAGTGGTTAATAGCAATATCTTAAATGCAATTGAATCTTGTTGAAAAATATCGTTTAAAGATTACATATTAGCTCATTTTAGTCGTCCTTTCTTCTACGAGAGAGCACAGTGAATTCTGACATTTCTTAAATTTTTGTCCATAAAAGGGAGGACATCTCAATAAAACAATATCATAGTGGTCGTATACTACTAAGGTCCTTTCATTTTACAATGTTTCCAGAGTGGGGGAAAATCTGATGATTTGTGATCACCTCGTTTCTGATCAGCGGAAGTCCTTGGCCAAATTTCAATGAACCATGATGGAACACTTGGATATATAAGATCTTTTTATATGTACTTATAGTAGCAAATGCAGATGATTATCTGATAATCAATCAAAGAATGCTAGAAACGGAAAAAATCTGATAGAGTGAAGTCTCTACTACAAAAGAAAAACGAATTGGTCGAGAGCGAGATAGTGGAAACATCTAATTGACTAGACTTCCAGTCTCAGAAAACTTGATTGAACAAAAGCTAGGTAGTGGAAACATCTGACTTGATGGCACGTCGATAAGAACATCGCGTGACTGGCTGAGCTGGAAGCATGAAAAAACTTCATTTTGAAGAGCTCTTCAAGATCCTCACCAACATATCTGTACACGTGACTTTACATGTTCAAGCAAGCATACAAGCAAATAAACTCATTTTATTTCACATACCCCTCTTTTCAGTCGGGAGAATATGAAGATGGATAATTGAGAACTTATTTTAATTGATTAGAAAGATTTGAAAAATTCTTAAAAATATAAAAATCAAAATTACGACTAAAAGTCAGATTAAACTTGGATAAATAATAGGGCCATTTTAATATATTTTGCATCAAAAAAATATCGATTTTAATGCAATTCTTGATATTTTTTGTTGCATAGTTTATATTTTCTCGAATAAGATGAGCAAGATAGGATTATTGAGCATAAAAACCATTAGAACCTATTATTAAGTTATTGATTCTCCAATAGTTGAACACAATTTGTAACCCTGTAGGAGCCCTGTCATGTGTCGATTGCTGATATTTAATCGACAATCCTTTTTTTTGTCATTTTGCTTTTAATGATGAAACGAAACACTACATAACTGTTCGAGATTCAATGGCTATTCCACATTTTCATACCTTAATATTCAAAAGTAGTGGGTCCCTTAAGTTTTTGCACACGTTTTATTTTGCATATATCTCAGCATAAATAAATGATCGCATGTTTTCGATTGCGATCGAATTGTGACGCAACTTCGTTGCAGTTGCTAACAAATAGGCGACATCAGATAAGATCTTGTTTTTCTGAAGATGCGCCATCAAAAGCTCTAAGAAATCTATATGCGGAAATCTCTATTGACTTTTTCTCCTGACTTTTTTCTAAATGGTTGTTATGATCTGTGTTGATAACACTAGATCCTCTGGTCGTCTATGCCTTTCTTCTTGTCGTTCGTCTCTTCTTTTTGTTCTTTTTTTTCCGTCTATTCTGATGTCTAACCGCACTCTATACATGTATAGAGACGTGTGTGTTTAGCTTTATAATTTGTTTTCCAACGAAAAAGGAAGAGTGAAATAAAGTTAGGTTTATATTTTCGCAATGGTTAAAAATGAAGATCTACGTGATGTTGCTATTTTCCATTGTAAAAACCGAAAAACAGCAACAAAAATCGTAGTTTCTTGGCAAATACGGTTCATCGTACTACAGTTCTTCGTTGAGTATGGCAATATGAGCGAACTGATTTCTTTTCTGTAAAGAAATCAGCAGACAGAAGGAGACGTGAAAGAACGCAACGGCTAATTAATTTGTCGAAAAAACAACTTGCATCAAAAAATGATAGAAAAAGTTCACAAACAACGTGAAAAGATTGGGTACAGCAATTGGTTAACAATGGAAAAGGTACTCAAGCAAGATTTAAAGAAAAAATGTTACCAAAGAACATCCGTTGAGAAGCTTCAAAATTTTCAACAGTCAATTCGACAGCAATGCTGTTCATGGGTTAGAAAGAAGTTCAAACGTGAAGATGTACAAGACATGATTTTTACAGATGAAAACTTCTCGCTCGACATGGCGATTTAAATTGAAAAAATGCTGCTGTACGAGCGAATAGTAGATAGGATGCAGATATGGACAATGACATTTATAGAAAAGGAAAATTTTCTGTTTTAATTATGATTGGAATGGGTGTAACATAAAATCGACTGATGATTCGTTACTTTTTGTAAACAGATGAATGTTTAAATGGTGAAATATACAGTTGAAAACTGCTGCCATTTTTATAAAACCGAAGCTGATCGATTATTTGGAGATCAAAATTGGTGTTTACAGCAAGATGCAGCAATTTATCATACGAGCAAAAGGCATAAGACTAGTGCAAAAAACATCTAAAGTCGTTCGTTTAGAAAGATCAGTAATCTTCAAACTCCCCAGAATTAAACCCATTAAAGTATTCCATCTGGGACAGTATTAATGACAATATTAGTTATCAAAAAGTTCAAATGGAAGATGATTAACCCTTAAAAGCCGGAAGGCCTTATCGCTGCAAATTGAACAAAGTAATTGTTAAAATAAGAAGTCCAGCATTTCAATAAGAATTATTGATAGTAAAAAAAGAAAATTTTTTTTTTCTTACGGAGATATAAAATGTCCCTTGGAAGGGACATTCGGTCTTAACGGTCCAAGTTCATCGGTGTTCTGAATTTATGCATGAAAAATGTTTTCAAATGAATAACTTTATTTATTTTGTTGTAAACACAATAAATTAATAGAAAGTAATATGTTCAATAACTTTTTAACAAAAAAAAAGAAAGTTAAGATACATATTTTTAATGACAAACATTTATGTCCATAATAGAAACTTATTTAGGAGTATGATATTCGGTGAAACAATTTTTGCTTGAATTAAGGCATAAGTGGACCTTACATCTGGAGCATTGCCAATATGTTTTTCCAGAACAGTTTTCATTCTTACATCGAGTATTGTTAAGACCAGAAACAAATAAAGGCCAATGATCAGAACTATCATATCGTACAACATCTGTTACACTGGACCTGGCTTCACGTAGTTTTTTTGTTGGTGGTTCATTTTCTTCATCATTTTGATAAACATTTACTGATGAACTAATAGCTGCTGTTGGGAATATTTGAATATTTGTTTTTGTTAATAGAAATTTTGCTATTTCAGATTTGAAATGAAATAATCTAAATTTTCCATGACTTGTAGAATTATAACTATCATCACCACAAAGACGAGAATTCATGATAATCCAAGAGTTAATAACCATTACATCTAAAATTCTCCATATAATTCTGGAATACCAACGTTTGGATTTGAATGGGATGGGGTGTAAGGCTATCAGCATGTCCATACTGTCGACTCCTCCCATGAATTTATTATAATTATTAATAATTTGAGAAGCTGTAACATCAACTCGACACTGTTTTTCTTTATCCCAACGTTTTAATGTTGTTATTGGTTCTACACCTATATGATTGGAACCTAGTAATACCCGTTTTGAATCCTTCCATCCAACTATGATGCAATTTTGTCATCTGATATAAAAGATTCATAATATCCTCTCTTCTTTTGAGCAAATTCTTCTTCTGTTGATATTGGACATTTTTCTATTCGATTCGATCTTAACGTGCAGGTGATTCGATAACCGAGTTCAGTTAATGTTTTTATCAACTTCGTTGATGCAAAATAATTATCAATAAATATTGCAGATCCAACGGGAACATATTTCACTAAATCTAATACAACTAATCCTGAAGAACCAAATTGTTTAAGTAATTTTTCACGTTGGGTATCAATTGATTTAATAGTATTCAATGCTTTTGCTGTTGTTGATCGAGATGAAGTACGTCTTAATGATAAATCAGGTAAAGCTAATCCATTAGACATAGTTTTCGATGAACCATGATGTAATATCATTTCGTAGACGAATGATGAAATACCGCACCTTGTCCATACTTTAAAACCTCTCTTTGTAGGTTTCTTTGGCATGTACTGACGAAAGGATGTGGGAGCTGTTGTTCCTTTGTATCGCTTTTATAGAATAGAGAAAAAATTTGGACCGTTATGTCCGAATGTCCCTTCCAAGGGACATTTTCTTTATGACATCATAATTCATCAATAGATCAATCAAAACATCGTTGAATGATTTCATATGATAGAGTAACGATGTATCGCGAGATACCACTTGAAAAAATAGATTTTGCTCTAGTATTCATCAATATACAAACGTTTCAAAATGAAGAATTGATATTTAAAAAATCGTCGGCCTTAAAAAACGCAGTGTTTTCTCTCACAAATACTCTGATTTGTTTTTACTCTTTTTTTATGATCTACCACATCATTGGAGTCGAAGAAAATAAAAAATACTGTATATGCACTATTATTGCATATTTTATTCAAATTTTCAAAATGTCCCTTAGAAGGGACATTCGGCTCTTAAGGATTAAGAAAGAGAAATCAATAAATCTTGAAAACAAATTGACTTGGATTATGCACGACAATTTATTGGTGCATTTCTTCGAAGAGTTTATTCGGTTGAACAACATAACGATGAGCTGATTATTGATGCACATTCTTGATACTTATGAAGTTTCATTGTAATTAACTTCCTAACGTCCTATTATTGTGTTATGAAGTTGGGTTTTGAAATAAAGAAGTAATTTTAAAAGCACTTGTGACATTTTTGTCATACTCGATGCAACAGGAAATAATAACATCTTGTAGATCGTCACATTTTATTACGAAGAAAAAAAAACAATTAGAAGAGAAAGTTAATTGCCATTTCTTTATATAGTTTTGTAGAGTTTCTCATGGCACATCTTTATAAAAAAGTAAAATTTTATCATTTATGCATACTGAGATATATGCAAAATAAGACATGTGAAAACATGTCGGGACACGCAGTACAACCGTTCTACACAAAAATCAAGTTGCTAAATGAAAGAAAACGGGAACTCATTAACTATACAGTAAGTAGAAACTGTACAAGAATGTACAAATGGGCCTTAGCGGCAAAAGTCAAGAGTAAACTGACCATTGTGTAGAGGATTAAATTCTACACCCAATGGTATGCTACTCAACTTTGTTTTAAAAAATTGTTTGACTGAAAAATTCAAAATACGATTTTTGAACATTTTAAAATCCGTTTTTTAATGCCAAGATTCAATTAAAAAAAGTAACGTTCGTCGCTTCGACTCACTTGACCCTCGGCTGTATAAGGCAGAAGTATTTCTCGTATGTATCGATGCGGGAAGAATTTATCTAGCAGTTTTATCCGAATAAGCAACGCAAAATTCTTTTCTTAAATCGTAACATTGAAAAAAATCTGCTCGGTCTCTTTGTAAAATAATTTAGGATAAACCCTACTTTTCAGTAAAAGATTGTAAAAATCAGCACATCTTTATCCAAGTATACTCTAACTAATAAATACCTGCAGCGAAATAAATGTCATACTATTACACACTAGTAACATGATGAACTACGTTGGTTTTAGTTGGTAATCTATGCTCATACAATAATTAAGAATCTTGATATTAAAAATTTTGTTTTTACCAACAACACACGATTATAATTGATTTATTTGCAATAATGAAAATGTAAATAAATAGGAAAACGGAAATAATTATTCAACAACATTCTATTATGTGATAAAAAAAGAAAAACTATAGCATAAAAATACATCAACAAGAAGCACGAAATGAACATAATATGCAGTGAAATGTGAGAAAAAAAGAGATAAGATACCAAAAAACAATATCAGAAAGAGAAAACCTTTAACATGGATTACATATGTAATATTATAAGCATTAACAATTACATGCAACGTTTTGTACAGTCAAGGAAGAATGTTAGAGCCATTCAGAAAAACGCATTTGCGTTTCTAAATATAGTTTATCTAGTCTTTCTATTTCGGCGAGTTGAGATTTACTTGGTTTCAATAATAAAATTTTGTAATCAAAATATATTAAAATAATCAAATCAGCCAAGCGTTTCACACGTGACAAAGGTACATAAATTGCAGCAATATCATCAGTTTCATTTGGTAACTTCAAATCAATTACAACATTATTTAAAGTTTGACCTTGACTTTTATGTGTTGTAATACAATACGCAGGTAGAAGTGGTAATGCACGTCGCTTAATCGATAAAATTGTCTTCTGATTTGATTTTGGTTTCTTATCTTTTGGTAGAACATCGGCAATATTAATGCGGAAAGTTTGTTCCATTAATGGTATTGGCACGAGATTTGATTGAAGTTGTTCAAACTTGCATTCAATCTTCGATCTGACGATTTCAATTATTGCGTATAAAGGTTTATGTATGTATCGTGTATTGTTTGGAAATGGTTCTGAAATAACATCGGTTGATACAGAATCTTCATCGTAGACAAGTTGTCGAAAGATTCCATTCATTCCATTAATAAGACCCAGTTCAATAGCAATATTTTGTGTTAAAATAACAGGCATTCCAGGAACCAAAGATAACAAACCAGGTAAATGCTCTGTTTTGCTATCAGATAATTCTAACAGCTT